AGAGAAGATACTTAGGACGGTTATAAACAAATACCAAACATATTTCTTTTAAAATGTTGCGATAAACTTCCCCTTTTATGGCGCCAAACAGGTTTATGAAAGCTAAAGTTTTTGACGATGCATAGTACAAAGGGTTTTCATATCATGTATAAACTAAAATGGAAAATGTAAAAATTTTGCTATTTTTGTTTTTATGAAAAAACCTTTGTTGGAATGTGTACAGAATTTTCAATATCTGCTTCCTTGACGATACATGATGTTAATGTGTAATAATGTTTTAAACGAACTTAAAACTTAGAATTGGAATCGCGAAAGTGCGTCACTTATCGGCTGCTAACCACTATTTTACAAATGGCGCGTAGTGTTAAAACAACAAAACATCAACAGACTGTTTATATCGACTGTTTCTCAACAACTCTTTCGAGGAAATTCTCCTTTCAAAGTTTGATATTGTGGCTTTCCACGGTATCGTGTTCAACGATATATCCACGTACGAGCGCACACTAGTGAACTGTTTGTGTCACTGGAGCCTCGTGGCCCCAAGTCGCGGAATTTTCGAACGTGTAATTGCATTATGGAAACCTTAAAATCCGGCAAACTCAATTTCAACTTTTCCCCGGGTTTTGGTATCTCTATTTCTTTGTTCAATTTTCATACTTTGGTTTTGGAATTGTATTTCATCTTCGTCGGTGGGATGAACGAAATACAAATGGTTCATGGTTCGTGAGTAAAACACAAACTCATTTTTTTCATCAAGAATCTTCTCACATTCCTACAAGACGTTCCCTGTATATGTGATAAGAGTACTTTCTCGTAACTGTTTCGTAACTTATGGGATCCACTTCGGGAGCTAATTGTACGCCTAAAAATAATGGAAAAAAAGTCATACAAATATATGTCCAATCTTTCCTCGTTTATGAGATATAATGAAATTTCTGTTTTAATTACTTTTACAAAAGATGCTCGAAATGACCACCTGCATTTGAAGACAAGCCTGCACGCGTCTTGTCATTCATCTGGTTACTCTCTCTATCATTCCTGGTATTTCTCGAATTTATCGGAAGCCTTGCTCTATTCTATTTCGTAGTATTTCAGCATGTTCAATCGACGTTGCGTATACAATCGATTTTAAATGTCCCCACAAATGAAAATCTAATGGATTCAAATCCGGAGAACGAGCAGGCCATGCAATAGGACCTCCACGACCAATCCATTTATTTGCAAAGCGTTGATTTAAAAATTGCCTAGCCACTCGGCTAAAATGCGACGAAGCTCCATCATGCATAAACCGCATACGAAGTCTAATATCGACTGGAACTTCCTCTAATATTTCGTGTAAACGCGTGCTNAGTTTCCCATCAAGAAAAAAAGGTCCAATTAAAAATTTATCAATTATTCCTGCCCATACGTTTAAACTAAACTGGTGTTGATATCTTGAATGCACAATAACACGTGGGTTTTCTTCATCCCAATTATGATTGTTATGAAAATTGAATATACCATCCCTGGTAAAATTAGAGTTTGCTCTGTTTATAAAATTCATTATATCTCATAAACGAAGACAGATAGGACATATATTTATATGACTTTTTTTCATTATTTTTAGGCGTACAATCAGCTCCCGAAGTGAGTCCCATAAGTTACGAAACACCCTGTATACTAATAATAACCCATTTGATTCTTCTCTCTGTTTCAGGTACGTATGTAAAATCCAGAGCGAGAGCTAGCGAGTTTCCGTGAGTATTACTACCGTGGTTTATGAAAAACTTTGTCGAAAGATACTCGGTCGTTTCGATATGTTAGTTCCGGTCGAACGGTCGCGTTCACGTCACCTCTCTCGGGTTCTTTTATTACTCTTTCTCCTCTTATCAGCGTATTGTGTCTCATCCCTCTCGCGCAGTTCGCGATGAGATGGCAATTAAAGTGAAGTTACGTATCCGACTTCTGTGGAGGAAGGCCGCCATTGTACTTCTCCAACACGGCGAAAGGGATCCGTTCGCGTTTCTTTCGGAATAAAAGTAGAACGAACTGTGGAATTCTCATCGCTCCGGGTCTCTCCACTCTCTAATATCAAAGATTATTATTTCGCGATAGAATCGTCCGCGCTGGTATAATGGGAGTAGCTGTTACACGGAATTTTTATCGCACTTTATCGAGCTACAATTATCGTAGAATTCGGACGAGTTTTATCTTTCGTTTAATTGACGACGATATTTTATCGTCTTGAAGTTTGTATAAAATTCGTGCGAAATCTCAAGTAGTATGTTACTTCTCATAGAGTGAACAAGGAACAAAGAATAGATACATAGATATAATAATAATAAAAAATGAACACAGAGAATATAATAGTAATAAAAAAAAAATGCAATATACATTTATTATAAATACGTAATATACATATTTATATTAATGTACATAATAATATGCAAATAATATAAACGAAGAATATTTTATAAAATAAACAGAGATTAAGAGCTTCGAATAATAGGGATGGTAGTTAATAATTTGGAATTAAGAGTTTTAAATAGAGTTTTAATTTGAAGACAAGGATGTTTAAGATAACATCTATGGGAGTTTAGAACAGAGGTTTCCAAACTTATTCGGCCCTTCATACAAGATAAAACAACTTTACAAGAAACTCTTTTATACAAGATAAAAAATTATTCAGCACCCAGAAAATTCTTGAATATCTACCTCCTTCAAGTGAACAAATGGACAAATTAGCATTTGTCATTTTATATCTATATCTATATTTCTACCTACGTCCTCCAACATAGTACGCTTTAAATTACAAAATTATCTACTCGATTACAACTCCAGAAATACACAGCATTTTGTGTGTTTCCCTGGGAAATAAAAATATCTGATCAAGTACCGACTTCCTACACAACAAATGAAACACGAACGAACGAAATTTTTCGAAATTCTCTTATCTTCTCCTCTTCCTTTATTCTTTCAACGCCTTCCAATTGCACTTGAGGCTGCTATCGCCTCCCTTGAATCGTTTCAGCGTTCACCAGGGGATGGTATCTTGCGTAATCCTCCCCCGCCAGTGATGCTCGATACACTTTACGAATCGCTGGTTAGAGTAACAAAATCGATTGTTATCACGCAAACGAGATCTTTTCGTATTTCGATGGTTGGTGGATCAGCCACTGAAGATCTTCACTCCGCAAGCAAATATCGTCTTCTGTCAACTATTTTCGTTCTGAGATTCATCCACGAACTATCTCCGCAAGTATGTAGATTGCGTTCCGCGGCAGATGGCTGCGAATTCTCCGCGAGTTCCACGCAAGCGGAAATGGAAAAAAGACGCGCAATAAATTTTTCAGCGCCGTCGAGCACTCGGAACAGTCGCGGAAAATGAGATTTCTCGCGCTTTCAAAATTCAAAAGCCGCGTTGCGCGGGAGGAATCACGCGCTGGTGATAAAAAAGAGAAACTTCGTAGAAGGGGCAGTAACCGAAGAAAATCAGTTGCCGCTTAAGCGATAAGTTATTCGGCAGGGGAAAGACGGAATTTGTACGTTGTCCTTGAACATTTCGAAGTCCTTTCACACAGAACAGAATATATATATATATATATATATATATATATATATATATATATATATATTTTTTTTTAAGAAGAATCCAAGAAAAAGGATGGCGTTTGTTTTTAACCTTTTACCACGCACGTCGAGAATTTTTTGTTCCAAAATTGTAATATATATATATTACAATTTATATATATTTATATTATATATAATTATATTATATTATATTTATTATATATATTTATAAATATAATTATATTATATTATATTTATTATATATATTTATAAATATAATTATGTTATATTATATTTATAAATATAATTATATTATATTATATTTATTATGTATATTTATATTAATTTAAATATATATATATTACAATTACAAATATATATATATTTTTTTTTTTTTTTTTTAAAGAAGAATCCAAGAAAAAAGATGGCGATTTTTTTTAACCTTTTGCCACACACGTCGAGAATTTTTTGTTCCAAAATTGTAATATCTTCTCAGTTTTAAGTACATTTAAGCGAAACGAATAACAAATATATTACTTCTCGGTAATTTCTATCCAATGATATCATACCGACGAGTTGAAAAAGAAAGCGACGAATTATTGAATACGGTTCGGTCACTCGTTATGGTCCGCAATCAGTTGGGTTGAAGAAGAATATTCGATGGCGATTTTATTGTTTTTATTTTTTTTAACGAGTTTGTTGTTAACGCACGAATCAACTGAGATTCGATACGACCAAAAAAATGACATTTACTTTTCATTTCAACATTTGCGCAAAAGTCAACAAAGTTAACTTTTATACTCTTGTATTTATACTGCAAAGTGTCATAAACACAACGTACTTATAAACGAAATTAATGAAAAAGTGATGAAGGAATAAATTAATAATTCAATAGTTCTCAGGAAACGGGTTAAATGGGACAATTAATTTACGAGTAAAGTTTAATCAAACTTCGATTTCACATTAACGAAAGGAATTTGTACGAAAGAATACGTCACGTGCAGGTTTCGCGACAGAACTTTTCAAAGAAATTTTCAAAGGAAAACGTCCAGCTTTTTCCTAAGTTTGCTCCGAGGAGAACGAAGAAATCCCGTGTGGCACGTACGCGCAACGACAATGCAAAATGCGACAGGAAAAAATGGAAACTAAAGCAATCGTAGCAACGCGGGATAAAGGCAATTTTTACCTGCCCTCGCGTCCTCGGGATTCTCGTCACGTTGCCGTGAGCATGAAGGAGGTTCAATGCAACCAACTCTTTGAACCTCGTTCTTTCGTTCGAGATATTGGCCGATTATTCGAGATTTTGATAATTTTCTCATCTGGATAGATCGTACACGTGTATATCCTTGATCTCGAAGCTCTTTCGAACAAACCATTCCGCGTTTCATAATTTCTCCTTGAAGAGAAAAAAGAAGAAGAAAGAAGGGAACGATAATTTCTCTACTGTATCCACTTGTGCTCTTCGTCCAGTTTCGCTTCCATTAAACACACGACGCAACGCTAACCTGTATTCGCTGGCTGCCGTAAATCAACGATTTCGTTCACGCCATTACTTTGCGATGTATATACTTTGAGAAACATAGTCTCAATCTGAGCGAGCGAGTCGACATCGATCGGCGAAATAATTGTAGGCAGACATGGGCGATATATATTTCGACTGAAAATTAAATTTTTGTAAATTAAATGTTCTTTGGTATTTGACAAATAATGGTATTTTGATCGATAGTATGTTTTCGGTCAGTTATAGGAATTTGTTATGCGAGTGATTGGGAAAATGATAAATTGAAGAATTGATTATTGGAGAAAATAATATGTGTTTGATTGTTGAAAAATTTGTCTTTAAAATAACATTCGAGATAAGTATCAATGAGACCAAAATACTTAAATGAAAAACGAGAAATCAATAAAGATCAAAATAATTTATTAATGAGCATTAATGAACAAAATTCGAAGACATCTGTGTTAAAATTGTAAATGAGAATATGCGAATTTCTTTACTGATGACAAAAAGAAACGAAAGAAAGTATCATATTTTATAAACATAGTTGTTTGGAGCATATTTAAATTTCTTCCATCGTCATCAAAAAAATCGAGCGATATTTATCTTTATTTGTGTCTGATTGATAAGCGTAGTAACTATACCGTAGCCGCAGAATAAGAATTATATATACAAATAATATAAACATAAGAATAATATAATAATAAGAATATAAACATTGAAGCTACAAATATATACTTTTAGAAACTTGTTACCTCTCATCAAAATCAAATGACAAATAAATATTCTGGTAAGTGATAAATAATTTATTTCATGAAATAACAAATAAATCATTTAATTGGAAATAAATCAGTTTAATTTTTACGAGAAATACTTAATAGTGTAATTTCGTTATTTTGCAAACAGATTATTTCTGAAGTAGCTTTAAAAAATAATTTAAAAATAGGAATGTATTAAAAATACAACAGTAAAGTAGTAATGTATTAAAAATACAACAGTAAAGTAGTAATGTATTAAAAATACAACAGTAAAGTAGTAATGTATTAAAAATACAATAGTAAAATAGTAATGTATTAAAAATACAATACTAAAATAGTATTGTATTAAAAATACAATACTAAAATGGTATTGTATTAAAAATACAATAGTAAAATAGTAATATATTAAAAATACAATACTAAAATGGTATTGTATTGAAAATACAATAGTAAAATAGCAATGTATTAAAAATACAATATTAAAATGGTATTGTATTAAAAATACAATAGTAAAATAGTAATATATTAAAAATACAATAGTAAAGTAGTAATGTATTAAAAATACAATAGTAAAATAGTACTGTATTAAAAATACAATACTAAAATGGTATTGTATTAAAAATACAATATTAAAATGGTATTGTATTAAAAATACAATACTAAAATGGTATTGTATTAAAAATACAATATTAAAATGGTATTGTATTAAAAATACAATACTAAAATGGTATTGTATTAAAAATACAATAGTAAAATAGTAATGCATTAGTAAATACAATAGTAAAGTAGTAATGTATTAGAAAATAGAATGGTAAAATAGCAATGTATTAAAAATAAAATATATATGTATTAATAATAAAATAGTAATATATTAAAAATACTAAAATATAGTATTTGAAAGTTTTTGAAAACGTCCGGATCTGACGTAGGAACGAGTGCTCCCAAGTGCTCGGGAATTATCAGAGCTGAGGGTGCTGTAACGTGTCACGAATCGAGCGCCAGCGAATTTCGGTATTTTTCCGAAGGACGAAGCGAAGGAGACTCAACATCTCCGGGGCGACAATGGCCCCTGCCAGGCGAGTGGAAACGGATCCTCTTGTATGTCTCCGAGCAGTCGCGTCGAGACGATAAACGAGAAGCAGGAGCGAGCGCGCCCGGGTCTTCTCGCGGCAGAGCCGAGCGATGTCGGCGCCAGTTCACCCCGTAATTCATCTTATCACTTAGCTCAAGAGCTTTAAATACAGACACGCCTCGTTTCTGCTTTTTCTTCTTCGCGTTTTATCCCCGTTTTAGCCTCGATCGCCTCGGTTGCGCGATTCCCCTCGGCGAAGGAAGGACCGAGCTTGAAGTAAGAAAGTTCCTTCTTTGAAGGAATTTCACTCCGAAGGGAGAGGAGGGGGAGGGGAGGGGGGAGGGAGAGGAAGATTGATGGATTGTTTGGAAAATCTCGTGAATTCTTCGCCCGACGTTCTGTTAGATTGATCTTTACATGCCGTAAACTAGAAGAATGCAACGAAAATTGAAAACGAAGATTATTACGCACGGCAAGCATATTTTGTACAGATTACATATTTACGTTCGAACAGACAGATAAATCAAAAATTCATCGACAACGTAAAATAAATACGACTTGTATAACAACAGTTCACTCGAAAAATTCAGCTGGTACGTTCAATACCTATGAATTGTTATCGCAGATTATTATAAACACAAAATTTGTATCAGATAAGGTACACATTTACGTTCAAACGTAAACACCATAGACAGGCAAGTTAAAAGTTCGTCGACAACGTGAAATAAATACTGTTCAAATAAAAACAGGTTATCCCATCAGTTGAGCTAGTACATTCAATTCCTTCAGTACGAATTATTATCTCAGACTATTATAGATACAAAATTTGTGTAAATTACATATTTACGTTCAAGCATCTATTCGCCATAGATAAATTAAAAGTCATCCATGATCTAAAATAAATAAAATAAATACTGGTTAAACAACAACAGTTCACTCCAAAAATTCAGCTGGTACGTTCAATACCTATGAATTGTTATCGCAGATTATTATAAACACAAAATTTGTATCAGATAAGGTACACATTTACGTTCAAACGTAAACACCATAGACAGGCAAGTTAAAAGTTCGTCGACAACGTGAAATAAATACTGCTCAAATAAGAACAGGTTATCCCATCAGTTGAGCTAGTACATTCAATTCCTTCAGTACGAATTATTATCACAGACTATTATAGATACAAAATTTGTACAAATTATATACGTTCAAGCGTAGATAAATTAAAAGTCATCCATAATCTAAAATAAATACAATAAATACTGCTTAAATAACAAGTTCATTCCAAAAATTCAGCTGGTACGTTCAATACCTATGAATTATTATTATAAACATAAAATTTATAAATTATATATTACGTTCAAATTATATATAACGTATATTAAACACCGTAAACAGGTAAGTTAAAAGTCGGTGTCTGTGCAAGTGTATCGCGTTCGAAAATAGCGAATGTCGGCCGGTTCATTTCGAAATCCTTCGTTGGAATTGTTAATCGTTCCGCGGCGATAATCCCTGCGTTAATGAATTTACCGAGGGGAAAGATGGAAGCGGAAGCAGAAACAATTTGAACATAGATCATTCAACTGAGAGTCATTATGCAGAGAGTGTCGCTCCAAGGCGCTTTGCATTAAGATCCTCAACGACAATGCTATTAAGAGAATTACGCTCGTAATTAAGTACAAACACGAAGACGCAAGAACGAAACGAAAGAATATCAAGAACACTGCGCTCTTTCCTGGACTTTTGCCCTTCTGTTTTGAACAAGTCGCTCCCCTGAACAAGACGCGAGGGAAGTGAAAGAATCGTGCTTAATTTCAGCTTTAAAAACGCGGAACTCGTTTTAAATTTTCCTTTATCGTCGAGACTGTCTCTCCTTTCAATTTTCAAAGTGGTCGGATAAAATTAAATTACGTGTAAAATACACATGCTACGCTTTTCTTTCTTTTTTTTTTTTTTTTTCCCTTTTTTTTTTTTTTTTTTTTTTTTTCTCTCTCCTCCGGTATCGTCCCAAAGATTATGCGAACCTCGCAATTTTTTTTTGTCTTTCTTTTTTTAAAGTAATTTCGCGTTGTTCGCCGCGGCTCTGAAAGGAGTACGAAATTCAACGAGAGAACGCGGCTTTTCCTCCCCTCCTCTTTTCCTTCTCTCCCCTTTCTCTCTTTTCTTCTTTTTTTCGCCACGCAAACCTTACAAAGCACCGGCGAAATTTAATTTCGGCCCCAGTAATTGAGTTTGCAGCCGGTCGCCGTGTTTCACGCATGGTAACTTTTTATACTTTTTTTTCCTTCTCTCTCTCTCTATATATATCATCAGTTGCGTTGTTTATTTATTACCAGGATCCAGCGCACGGGGCTAATGTTACTGTTTTATTTCGCTTCGGTTGAAACACGTCGTAATTGAGTGCGCGTTTCACACAATACTACGCGAACTGTTTCGAGATTTTCGCATGCAACTCGAATCAGAGTTCGAACCAGAGGCCAAGAAACAACGCGGATCGCGTACCATGTGCTTTCGCGGGTCAAAGGGCGCTCTGGCATTTGTGTGCCCGACGTTCGTATTTGCGAATATATCGCGTGTATCTCGCTGGTGGTTTTGTTGCTGCTTACTGGATCTAACAATAATTACCCAGCCAAAAATGGCGGCGCACCGATACACAGAATCCACGAAAAAATGAAAATCGCAATTAACCAATTGCCTCGTAGCATCCAGTTTCGGCTCGCGGCACGAATCATGGTTTTTCCGGCTTGTAGAAGCTGAAATTTTAGTTCTCCAAATTGAAATCTGATAACAACAGTTTTTGTAACAAATCGCGATAACCAATGCTTACTCTGAGAAGATTGAAAATTATATTACGATTGAATATTATTATTGGATTGTTCGAAAAGTTTCTTTCGTTTCATTAATAATGTAGAGTATTTTATGTTTTACATTGTTTTACGAACATTATTAGATTGTTCCAAATTGTTTCGTTTTATTAACAACGCAGAATATTTTATATTTTACGTCGCATTATTGAATTATGATCCATTTTTCACTGCGCGGAAGCTTCACGATGCCATTTCCAATATTTCGAGGATTTGCTAGGGAATTTTTTGACTGAAAGGATGTTACCCTGGTCATTATCCATCCCTTTCGTTTGAAAAATGAAATCTTCTCGTTGAAAAATTAAATTTGGCTCGAAATTTTTTTGGCACAGGCTCGAATAATATTTTCAGAAGTTTTGGACATTGTGAAGTTTCCGGTGAGACCGGAGGATGGTAATTATTTGATAACATGATGTAAAAATGTTGTTCATTAACTCTTAGCTGTGAATGACGAGTACTCGTTATGCGAGAGAATTACAATTTGCAACTGAAATGAAATTTTTTGTGGAAAATAAAACGTATTTGTAAATCCTAGACATTTCAGAATATTTTTGGACTCGACTTACATCATTTCTAAATATTTTCTTGCTATTAATTAGTATTAATTAATATTAATTATAGTTTATTCATTAATCAATTATTATCTATTGTAAATTAACTAATATAGTTAATTAATATAATCGCTTATCAATTATATTATTATATTAATCAATAAAATTATCCATGAAAATAATTAAAAAGAAAGACAAATATGTTTTTCTCTTGCAGTTTAATTCAATTTTACAGCAACTGCACATACTCTGTGTTCGACGTGGTATAATCATCATAGATACACACCATTTAAAAATGGCTAAAAGCTATTAACAAAACGAAAGACAATCGAATAATGACATTCAATCGGTAATATATAATTTCAACTTATTCTTTCTCCGAGTTAGCATCGGTTACCGCCATTTTTTCACAAAACTGTCAACAGTTTTGAATTTGGAGAAACCATTGGAAATCTAAAATTCGAGTTCCAGGAGAAATTGTTCGACTTGAAACGGAAGGGGCGGCGAGTGAAGAAAAACAGGAGACAGGAGGAGAAATTCTCCCGCCAAATTAGTATCCAAATCTTTTTAGTGTCCGCGTTATTGTCCCGTTCTAAAGGACTCTCTCTAAAAGCGAGACCTCAGCGGCGAGAAGCCGGCGTGTACGCAATTACCACGCGGAATTGAGTCGCAACAGTCCGCCCGAACGCCTCGAGTTCGGTCGAAAAAAGTCTAAAAAAAAAAAAAAAAAACACCAGTTGCTTCTTCTTTCTATCTTTCCTCTCCCACCCTTTCGCCACCCTCTGTTAATTACTTAGAGAGCCTTCCGTTAAATAAATAAATTGCCGGCGAACTCTCTCTCTCTTTCTCTTTCCTCAGCGCGGAACGTCTTTAAAATTATCACAAATTGCGACTCCGAACGGAACAATTTCTCCCTTCTTCCTCTTCTTTCTGTTCAATTCCGCTCCGAGTTTCTACGATCCGTATCTGTAATTGGGATCAACGACGAGTGGGAGCGAGTTTCGCGCAGTAAATATAATAATATTTTGATCGTCCTGGAACCATCGATCCGTCACGCTTAAGCCTTGCGTCCGTTTGAGAGTTTCTCGCGAGAATTACCCTCGAGAGTACTCTCAAGCGTTGTGTCCATTTGAGAGTAAGTTTGAGAATTTTTACTCTTCGAGAGAGAGAGACCGAAATACCCTCCGAGAGCTTACTATCCGACAGAACTCTCAAAACCGTGTCCATTTGAGAGTTCAGTCTCTGGCCCTACTCACTGTGGTGTAGTTCGTGAAACATGAGTGTGAACAGTGGTATCGCTATCATGGAAGTGCAAGAAAATGTGTGCCCTCGTGGTTTCCCATAATATTTTAAGAAAGAAGAAAAATCAATATAAAAAAAAAGAGTTCAACAATTTAAATTATTATATAATATTTATATTTATATTTATATGATATTTATATTTATGTAATATTTATATTTATATAATATTTATATTTATATTTATATAATATTTATATTTATGTTTATATAATATTTATATATTTATATTTACATTTATATAATATTTACACAATATTTAAACTATTATATAATAATTTATTAATAATTTAGATATTATTTAATAATTATTTCATTATTATATAACAATTTAAATTAAAAGAAATTAGTTCAATAATTTCACTTTTTTTATTATTCACTGTTCTGCTCGCAGGATTTCAAAATCGCTTCGTATTCTGAAAGCAACTCTTCGAAAGCGGTATAATATTGTGTCCATCGGCGAACAGGTCGACTCTCAGACAATTGAGCGATTCTCTCGGACAGTAACTCTTCGAACAGTATCCATTTGCGAGAAATACTCTCGAGAGGAACTCGCGACGAGTTTTACTTTCCAGTGGACGCCACCTAGCTTTATAAACAGGAAGGATGTACACACACGTCTCTCGGGAAGATCGAACGATGACCTCTCCCTTAGCTTTTCTCGCTGAGGGCTGATTCGGATAGCGAATCAGGGTAGAAGAGGCAGAAGGGGATTCTAGAGAATGGGTGGATGGGTTCGGAGCGAGGGTACATATTCGGGAGCGAGGGAAATTTACAATCCAAGTCCAGCCGTATATTAGGGAAAGTTACTTCAAGTCGTAAACGTCGAAATATATCAATAGCAGGACGACGTTTCTGTATGGACGGTGTTCGGTCGTAATAGCGACGCTGGTGTACATACATACATATACACACACACACATACATACATACATACATACATACATATACACGTCTCACGCTATGTCTAAGCGCAGATGAGTTCGTACGTGTTAAATATCGCAGCTCCCGACTGCCAGCGAGGAGACTTCTAACTATAGTTATCGATGAAATCGTTTTAGTTAGCGGAACTGACCTCGATGGTTCCCTGACTCTCGATGAATTGGCCCAGCTTTAACGGGCGCCCGACAGCGCCCGGGAATTAACGTCGGGCTTTTTATTTAACCGCGGGCCTGTTTTTCTTGCCTGAATTCCCTCCTTGCGGTTCGATTCGTTCGATTTATCGTCATCGGTGCCCCCCTTTATTAGAAAGGCGTTTTCTGATTCTCGCCGATTTTTGTTCCGTCGCGTTTTTAATTTTCTGAGTGTCTCACCCCTCTATGTGGAAATTCGAAGCTTGGTGACCGGAAAGATTGGCTGGCCGGGTTCTTTCGGAAATGTTGGATTCAGTAATAAATAATTTACTTTTATTCATTTATTATATCAAAGCAACAATTGCATCACGATCTACGATATATATATATTCGCCATTATTTGCAGTTACTTGCTTCCTCTTTGGAAAACTGATTTTTACGAAAAACAGTCTGCACTGCACGCGCAGTGTGCGTGAACCGAGAAGAAACCTCGAGCACAAACCGAAAGACAGTTCTCGATCCAAATTCATCAGCGCCGACTGCGAAATTACTGTACACGGAGGAGAATTGGAGAGCATGCTCGATCAGATCGGTTCTCTCTGTAGTGCGCTCGAGACCACTGCAAATCTTTGCCACTTGCCCTCGACCGTGTAGTGGCTGCTGAAACTCTGTCGGTTAAACAAGAGAACGAGTTTGTTAAATTCGTTTCTGTCGTATCGATCGGGACTGAACGTTTCTTGGTTTCTCTCTCTCTCTCTCTCTCTCTCTCTCTCTCTCTCTCTCTCTCTCTCTCTCTCTCTCTCTTTTAGCTTTTCGCCGCTAAATAAAAGCTAATTTTTTTGTTAGAAAGAGGAATTTAAAAAGTTGTCTCTAGCGTACCGTAAATATATGTGTTTACTGGCTCGTTTTTAAATTTAACGCTGGAACTATGAGTTAAACGGTCAAAATGACCAGAGTCTAATTTTTTTTGTCAGAGATTTTACGAATGTGAAACAACGTATTTTGGGCGATTTAAGTGATTTTTCGTGAAATATATAAAATAAAATCATCTGAGGATCATATTCACTTTTTTGCGAATAAAATGCATTCCTTCACAGATTAAATTCATCACTTTGCAAGTCAGATCAACCCTATGGATGACTCAAAGGTAAAATAATACACTTTTTCATTTCTACCATCGTACTCACCGTTGAAAATGTTTTTTTTTTTTTTTTTCAAAGATTGAATTCTGTGCAAGGAAATATTTTCGCTGATTTTTCAAACTATGAACATTCAATGGACGTTAATCATTCTGTTCAAACCATCACTCGTACAGATTGTCATATTTGTTACACGAACTATTACAGGCGAATCTACGTATCTGTGTGAATACTTGTCAAATGTCAAACAAGCATTTTATGTCAGTTTCCCATGTTATTTCTTTCTTTCACGTGCAATAAAACTTTTACTTCGGAATAATAGTAACTTCATGTCGGATTTTATTTTTATTGTTTACAGTGGCTCCAGAAAACAAATTTGACTTGCAAAAGGGTGAATTTTATCTGCAAAAGGGTTAATTTCGAACACAAAGCGGCATCATTTCGTTTCTGTCACGTCGCTGATGGAAATTTTACGCTCTGGTCATCGACGGTTTCTGGTGTTAATAGTATTTTTTTTTCACAGGAACTTTCGACGCTTCCGATAGCTATCGTGAAGTTGTTAATGCTGATTATATGCAATTGATCATCAGAATCTTCAAAATTAAATTATTAAATTAATTTTGTTAAACTAATTAAATTAAATTAAATTAAATTTAAAAAATTAATTTAAAAGAATTAAATTGAAGAATTAAAGAGGGAAAATTCGTGACACCTCTGGCTTGGTGTTTTACCAATTTAATAAAAATTGCGCTTAGCCGCTGAAATAATTTTACATTCTATTTACGCTCTCTGTTAATGTTACGATACATACCACAATTATACTTCATCGTTTGTCGTGCGAGTTTCTCTATCCTCAAGTCCGCTAAATTCTGTTATCCTACTACTGACGGTAGATTATATCTCGTGTGAAACGTGTGTTTTTAACAGAGACAAATAATCTTTCGCACTGCGCAAATATATACACCATAGGGAAATAATTTTCGCAGAAGCGTGTGTACACACGAGCTTAACGTTCACGTAAATCTACAGCACTTCTGTTTTTCGTTGACGATAATACGTACAGAGTACACAACCGGGGGATTACTGTTACTATTTTTATCCGGATCACCCGTTTCATAGAAAATGTCGAGGGTTCGATGATACGAAGCTGGAAAATTCGAATTTCAATCACAGAAAATTCAAAGCTCTCGGAGACTCGACTCATTGTCACTGAGGTCTTGGAAAATATTCGTAAAATAAATTCTGCTTGTAGCAAACTAATTTTCTTTTTGCATTTGTCGAGATCTCAACTTAGTCGAGATTTTTCACTCGATTGATCCCTTGACAAAGTTGTCGAGCCCTCGTTAAATACGCTTCTTAGTCGGAGTGATTCGCACGCGTTATTTTTCTCCCAGCGGAGACCGCCAAGTCGATTTAAATTTCCCGCTTCCGTCGCGATCGGATATCGCGCAACACCGAGATTAATTTTCTTTTTTTCTTTCTTTTATTTTAACCGTCTTATGAAATCGAACGACAGCAGAGCGTGTCGAAGAGAAATGCGCCAGCTGGGAAACTAATTGATATTATCGATATTGCAGCGTGTGATTCGCCTTCGTTCGAATTTTTGAGAAACTTCGAGATAAAAGAAGGGTGAAAGAAATAATTGAAGACGATAATTAATAATTGTTTTAATTTTTCAAATAATATTTTTAATTTTTGAATAATATTTTAATAATTATTTTAATAATTAAAATAGCAACGTAAGTATGCCAGTGACGATGAAATGTTGTTGATAATTTCAATTGATGCAACTTTGCAAGAAAAGAATCGTATAACGATTCACGCGTAACAGTTTTTCGAAAATGATTTTTGTTCGAAAATTGTCAAAACTCAGACATATGTAAAAATGATTTTGAAGATTGAAGTCTCTCCTTTCCAACAACTTCACGAAACTTGTATCTGTTGCTCCTTTTTTCTTTTTTTTTTTACATTATTTTATTGAATGTACAATATTGGGATTAAATGACAGAGATTCAAGAAATCCTAACGTTTCGTCGTCTGATCCTAATATTTCGTGTTCAATGAAATGATTTAAGAGAAAGGAAATTTTAACCCCTTGCCTTACGATTTTCTTCTCAATCTTTTTTAGTAACTGTCACTCATTGTAACTGTCACGTTTTAAATGAAAAGCACGTAAAACGTTTTATTTACAATTTGTACTTGCTAATACTCGGCCTAGAGTCGAAGTTAAGTTGAAGATTGGAAGTGAAACTTTACGAAAATCACAATTCGCTTTTTCTTTCAAGTAAAGAAATTGTAACTTGCAATTACAGCAGAATGCTATAAAAAGAAAATATCAATCTTCAAGGCCATAGATGGATTTACTCTTGAAAAAAGATTTTTATTAACGTTTTATTAACTACATGGGTTTGAATTTTCAAAATATTCGACGAAAATTATCAGTTCGAAAGGAACAAACTCACCATTGTCAAATTATAGATAGAGGCAATCGAAATGAGACCAAGTTCCATCGACAGTTTTGGCACACAACTGATTGTGCTCCTCGGTCTATGAAAGTTAAACGTGTTGAATCGAGATTAATTAAAATTACTCGACGCTTCAGCGATTAAATTGAAATTAATTTCACTGGCGATTCAACAAGTCAAAATGCCATTACACGCTCGTGTGTGTGTGTGTCTCTGTATCAAAGTAACGTCTAACGCGCGAATTGCGAATTAAAATAATTGGCTTGCTGGCTAACAACCAAATAAAAAGATCGCAAGGCGAAGCGCAATGGGAGGATTAAGCGGAAGTAGCTAGATTGCAGAAGGCTGTCGATGAGACGGTGACCTTATCTGAGTCGAACAGCCGGCAATTATCGGCTTACCAGGAAGCACTGCTCGCGCTGCCTACCTGTAATTATCTCGAGCTTACTGTGATTCGAGCCCAAGACGGAATCCTTGCGTGTGACTAGGCACCCAAACACCTTTGTCTCGACATCGTGTGCAACACACAACGTATCCTCGACTCTGTTGTATCGTGCAACGTTGTGGCCGCGTGACTTCCTGCATCCCACGGGAGAGAATCCATTTCCAGATGAGAAGAAAACACGGAGATGAGAATTAGAAATATGTAACTGTTTATTTTCAGTTGCGTTTGTCGCGGGAGTTTGTGGTTTGAAAAAAAAAAAAAAAAAAAAAAAAAAAAAGAAGCGTAGATAAAGTATGTGATGCATGACGTAGAAAGATTTTACATAATGCAGCACGCTTTGCGAATAAAGGAGTGGAATGTGACAGAATACAAATGGAATTCCGCTAATACGATACGTGAGGATTTTTTTATTACGCGTGGATTCTCTCGTTCTCGGGCATTGTACAAGTTTGCACTCGTCGTGCATATGCCAAGTGAAATAAAACGTCGAAACGTGTGCGTTCCACATTCTCAGTTCGGCCGCGTAAAATGGAAAGCGAAAAGCCGGGAATGGAGGAACAGAAGAGCAGAGCGAAGTGGACGATAAGACGAGAGATGGAGGCGCGACCGTAAAAACCGTGAAAAGGATTGGCAACATTCTTCTCTCTTCTTCTTCGTCTTTTTGCTCGACGAATTTCGTATTTGCTCCGAGGGGGGGAAACGTCCAGAAATGTCAAATATCGTTCGAATTTCACCGGCGGAGGGAAATATGTGTAATACCTTTGATTTTAATGGAGTGGGAACTAACCCAACTAGGTCCGGCAAAGTGCTTTTTCCCCCCACTGTGCCCTACATTTTGTACACGAGAAAGCCCAAAATGAGAGTGGGATGGTCTAATACACAGGCGCTCGTTCTTCTTTTATCTAGTCCGGGAACTCTCTGTTTTATTCGTTTGAAACGATATACATATACAAGGAAAATTAATGGTGCGAGATGTAGAAACGCCGATTTAATAAATTACACTATCTGAGCTTAAAAAAAAAAAAAAAATTAAAAAGAAAAATAAAAGAAAAGGGATTAAGTTGGAAAAGAGAAGAAATTTTTGTAACATATCTGTAACTTGCAATATCTTTCAGATAGATTATTGTTTTCCTGTGGGAAATTGCGACACACGCGAAACAAAGCAATTTTTGGCGAAATATTTAAAAAAAAAATCCGCTTTCATACTTGCGCAATGCCAATTGAAAAAAATTAAAAAAAAAAAAAGAATAAATATCTGGAGAATAAATCTTAACATTAATTAACATTGAAATGTTTTCACATCGTCGTGTAGAATTATGTATTTGCAAACCGATGATTTCTTTATTCGGTGCTACGTTTAGCGCGTGTCTGACGCAACATGACATCTATTCTACTTAATTCGAAGTGATATCGAGTTGGACTGTTTCTCCTGTACAGTGTGTGTCTCTGTAGAAACGCCGATTTAATAAATTACACTGTCTGAGCTCCTTAAAGAAAAAAAATAAAAGAAAAGGAATTAAGCTGGAAGAGAGAAAAAAATTTTGTAACAACAGTATATGTAACTTGCAATATCTTTCAGATAGATTATTGTTTTCCTGTGGGAAATTGCGACACACGCGAAACAAAGCAATTTTTGGCGAAATATTTAAAAAAAAAATCCGCTTTCATATTTGCGCAATGCCAATTGAAAAAAATAAAAAAAAAAAGAATAAATATCTGGAGTATAAATCTTAACATTAATTAACATTGAAATGTTTTCACATCGTCGTGTAGAATTATGTATTTGCAAACCGATGATTTATTTATTCGGTGCTACGTTTAGCGCGTGTCTGACGCAATATGACACCTATTCTACTTAATTCGAAGTGATATCGAGTTGGACTGTTTCTCCTGTACAGTGTGTGTCTCTGTAGAAACGCCGATTTAATAAATTACACTGTCTGAGCTCCTTAAAGAAAAAAAATAAAAGAAAAGGAATTAAGCTGGAAGAGAGAAAAAAATTTTGTAACAACAGTATCTGTAACTTGCAATATCTTTCAGATAGATTATTGTTTTCCTGTGGGAAATTGCGACACACGCGAAACAAAGCAATTTTTGGCGAAATATTTAAAAAAAAAATCCGCTTTCATATTTGCGCAATGCCAATTGAAAAAAATAAAAAAAAAAAGAATAAATATCTGGAGTATAAATCTTAACATTAATTAACAAGAAATGTTTTCACATCGTCGTGTAGAATTATGTATTTGCAAACCGATGATTTCTTTATTCGGTGCTACGTTCTAGCGCGTGTCTGACTCAACAGAACACCTATTCTACTTAATTCGAAGTGATATCGAGTTGGACTGTTTCTCCTGAACCGTTCTTTCTCCTCCAGATCAAACTATTTGGCTAGAAAATAAACTCAGAATTTATTTGCCACAAATTTTATTAGTCGTTCAAATTAGTCTGGTAGAAATAAATTTATTGCAACTTTAAAATAGTGAAAATAAATTCACAACACCGTGAACGAAGTCAGAAGTTCCGCCAAGTTTTTCATTTCTTTCCCCTCTTGAAATCGGTCAATCGGTAGACGCGATTCGCCAAATGGCTTCGTTGCAAATTAAGTAATAAGTAATTGTCCCCACGTCGTGTCTGCATTGTTTCGCGTCGTCGGTGGGGGGTAGGAGAAAAAAATCTGGGGTAGGCCATTAGGATAATTGAAAACGAAAATTCAATGAAGTACGATCAAACGGTGGCTCGCTCTCCTCCGGCTTGTTCTCAATTATACCAGCTAGGGCCACTTTCGGAATTAGATTTCCGTGAGCAATGTGCAAGTGTTGGTCGTGTGACGTGGGTGCTCCTTCTGTCGTGCGTTACGGTGTTTCTTCGTTCGGGGCAAAGGTCGTCTTAATCTTTGAACGAACTTATCGAGATAGAGGAGAAACAGAGAGAAAAAGAGAAGTCTGAAAGAGAGACTTTTCTCGGTAACTGGTTAGTTCATTAAGGTGCAATTAAACTCGTGTGAAACTTGCCTGAAACTGTTTGTGCTGCCAATGCAAATCCTGTATCTTGCGAGATGTTGATCGAAGGTTATCAGAGGTCCGTTGCCAATTATCAACGCTAATTTTACTTGTCCTAGGAATATTTTCAGTGCTGTTTGAGTGCTAATATATTTTGCGTTTATAAATTGTGAGAAAAAAGAATTTGAATATTTTAATCTAGGAAAGGAAGCTTTGCCAATATATTTATTTACTGACTTCAGACAAAATGCAGTAAACGTAAATATAAAGTTCTAAAAACTTTTCAAATTGACAGCGATTCTTGAATTGACATAACATAACTTATAAGAAATTACGAAACTTCATTTAATTTCACAGAGTTCGTGTAATCTACAATATTTTGTTCGTTAAGTAAAGCAACGTTTCATTTATCATAAATTAGCTTCAGTGTTATTAATCAGCTTCACTGTACAGTTAGTTGACATCTAAATAAAACAACCAACGAAACAAATTTCTCTTAACAGAAAACCTCGTCGAATAATTCCAATCTATGTTTTCTGAAAATGCACATCAAACAACTACCAGATTCCAACTCTAGAATCAATACATGCGCGAGAAAACGAAATAATGCGATATAACGCCAAGAAGAAAAAAAAAAAAAAAAAAAGGCAAATTGAATCTTCCCTTTTCTCGATTCTCGAGCCTCGAAGGCTAACAAACATATCCACCAACGAATGATCCTCTTACCCGTACCTTCTCCACGACCACGTAAACACCGCTTAAACTTCCGCATACACTGTGCCGATATACAGTCCACCAAATCCTGTACCACTTAAAAGCCACGTCGCTTTCTCCATATTCATGATCGGGCTGCAGAGTTCTGTATCGAGTTTGCTGTCCTCGTGAAAACGCTCCCGCAAAATTCGTTTGAAAGGTCACCAATCACAGAGAAAAACCAGTATACGCGAATTATCTCTGTCACACTTGCCTCTGTCTGTGATATTGCGGGATTTGGAAGTTGCAACGATCAATGCCGATTTGTATAATATTGCTGTATGCTTAATTTATATAATATAATTAATATATAATTTATATAATAATTTGTGTAATAAAAATTATTTGTATAATAATTTATATAATATATATTTAATTAATTTTAGTGTATACTAAAACAGATTGATTCTACTTTTAGTATGTTTAGTTAAAGTAGATTAATTCTATTATACACTGTTTATTCAGTCTATTACGCGATTTCACGCAGTCTGTTCTACTTTGTTCTACTTTGTTCTACTTTGTAATTTGATGATTAAATCCACACTGTCTTCTTTGCACTTCTTCACTCAAAGATCAGATCTGCATTGTCTACTCTGCTCTTTTTCACTCAGAGATCAGATCTGCATTGTCTACTCTGCTCTTCTTCACTCAGAGATCAGTCCACTCTGCTCTTCTCTATTCAAAGAGTAGAATCAGACAGCTACTGTGCTCTTTTTCATTCGACGATCAGATCCATATTGTCTCTTCTGCGTGTTTTTCTACTCATACAGTAGATTCAGATCGTCTACTCTGCTCTTCTTCACTCACAGATCAGATCCACTCTGTCTACTCAGTTCTTCTCTAGTCGACGATCAGACCCATACTGTCTATTCTCCTTTTTCCTACTCATAGAGTAGATTCAGATCGTCTACTCTGCTCTTCTTCACTCACAGATCAGATCCATACTGTCCTTCTCTACTCAGTCCTTCTCTAGTTGACGATTAGATACTGTCTATTCTTCTCTTTCCTACTCATAGAGTAGGTTCAGATTGTCTGCTCTGCTCTTCTTCACTTACAGATCAGATCTGCATTGTCTACTCTGTTCTTCTTCGCTCATACATCAGATTCACACTGTCTACTTTATTTTTCTCTATTCATAGAGCAAATTCAGACCGTTTACTCTTTTTTCACTCGATAATCAGATCCACGCTATTCTGCTTTTCAAAGAACAAATTCAGACTAATCTACTTTGCTCTTTTTCACTCAAAGATTAGATCCATTGCTCACACTTTCGATCATGCTTTTTGTCTCACACCCATATTCATAATATTACATTATTTTACATAGTGTTGCAGAATCCTTGCATAAGCAATGCTTAAGATTATAAGCTTGACCCACACTAGGTTTTAGTATTCCCACAATATATGGAGCGGTTTTAAAATTCAATTATATTGTCAATGGAGTCCAAATTACCAAAATTGTCTTCGCATCTGGTTTCGAATTTACAAAGTATACGAGTTTTTAGACGTGGTCCGACAACGCATGGAGACCGACAACCACAATCGGTGGTTCACGTTGTTCATCCGGTTAATTTTCGTACCGCGACCGCGGAATTTTCAGCTAGTGACACGGAGTACTCGCGTTACAAAGGAAACGGATAACTACGTCGGATGTCGAGCTTGTCACGGAGAGCACGACATCCTGTTGATATTCCAAGAACTAGAATTCTCGTTCTTGGCGTAAAATTATCATACGATGAGAAGTGGGATTCTTTGGTTGCAATGCATTACATCTGAAGAAGCAACTTTGCCCCTTGTGAAATTCGCAGGTTAAACAACCAGGGTAAAATGTAACGACGAAATACCTGCATTTAACTTAGTATATACTTTGGATTAAACATAATTAAATTGAGCCAAATGAATTCTACTACACGCTGTCCTACTCGATCCTATGTGATTCGACGCTGTTCTTTTGGTCAGATTCATACTGTTCCTTCTACTCAATTACTAAATCCATATTGTTCAATTTGATTCTACGAGCAAATTACTGTCCACTCTACTCATGACCAAATCCACACTATTCAACTCCATTCTAGGAACAATCACACTGTCCATTCTACCCACACTAGGTTAGATTAGATCGATTAGATCTACACTATCTACACCATTAATGACCAAATACACACTATTTAACTCTATTCTATGAGCAGTCACATTGTCCATTCTACTCAACGATTAGATCTACACTATCTACACCATTAATGACCAAATACACACTATCTAACTCCATTCTACGAGCAAGTCTACACTGTCTACTCACTCAACGATTAGATCTATACTGTCTACTCCACTCTATGACCAAATCCAGACTGTCTGTTCCACTCTATGAGTAAATTCACATTGTCTATTACACTCAATGACCTACATTATTTATTCTAGTCAATGATCAAATTCATAATGTCTACTCTACTCAGTGACCAATCTACTGTCTATTCAATTCAATGACCAAATCTCCATTATTCATTTCATTTAATAACCAGATCTACACTGTCTATTCTACTCAATGACCAAATCCACATTATTAATTTCATTCGATGACCATATCTACACTGTGTACTCCACTCTATGAGTAATAAAATTTATAGTATCTACTGTATCTACTCTATCTACTCTACACAATGACCAAATTTATTCTATTTTACGAGCAAATTCATGTTGTTTATTTCACATGATGACCAAATCTACACTGTCTGCTCCACTCTACAGTCAAATCCACACTATCTACTCTAGTCGATGATCAAATCCACACTGTCTCTTTCTCAATGTGCACCCGTTTTCTTTCCACCGCTTGCACTCATACCCTTAATATTATACTATTTTAAAAGTATTGTACACAGCCATCTGTGTAGCCTGAGCCGCCTTAAGATCGTAAATTTGATCTGCGCATGATTCTAACACTGCTACAATACATTTTCGGCAAAGATTGAGATTTGAAGTTGAGTCCTGAGAACTTGGGAATTTTGTCTCTGTTCTTTCTCTTCGGAAGTTTCCTCTCGTAAACAGATCAACGGCGTAAACTTATCACTGCGTACGAAATTGTAAAATTTTTCTACATACTGCACCTTACATCGTATTCTACTTATCGTTACGCGAATTTCTACTTTGGCTGATACGTTATTAACACAAAGAACCGAGACACACACTCGGTACACTCATTCCCCTGAGTGAAAGAGTAAGAAGCCGAAGTGAGCGAAGATGGCGAAGTTCGCAATCTATCGGGAGGAAACAGAGAAGAAAGAGGAACGTAATTTGCGTGAACGTCACGTTGAAGTAAACGTTGAAGTCGCCAACGTTTAAAATCATACTCGCGTCGCGAA